AATTAAAATCATACACTTTTAATCGATTTTTGATCATTTTGTAAGCGATTATAATCAAAAATAACTGAAAAAGTCAACATTTCATTGATTAATCTTATTCATTTTCATTATTATCGATTAAAATTTGTGCAAAAATATATCGATTTTAATTGATTTTTGTTCGTAGTAAATAAAGAATCTTTGATCAATATTGTTCGGCTTACATCAATTTTGATCAATGTTTTTCATCAAGTATAATTCGATTATATAATCAAAATTAATCAAAATAACCAATTATATTTTGGTTTCTCTCGGTAATTTGTAAATGTAATCGGATACGAAATAAGTAAAAGTCAACGAAAAACGTATGGGTGTAATCGATTTATAATCATTTTTTCATTAATTGATAATTATGTTTTAATCAATTTTAATCTGATTTTTACCATATTTCTTTTTACATGACTAGTAGCTATATTAATATTAACCAATGAGTGCATCGAACACGTAGAAAATGCTTGTGCAAGTAAAACAATAAATATTCCATTTCGAAATTCTTTTATGCATGACAAAGATGATTTGTGTTACGCATAGCATCCAGCTTTCTGTTACCTATTAAGTTCTTTGCTCAAAAGAGTTCAATGGATGAATGAATGATCCCATTAAAGCTAATTAGTTTTAACGCTCCGAATATCTTTGTAACATATAATGTTTTGGGTGGCGCATCCATAAATTCTCTTGTTGAATATCGACAAAATAAACCACTGCTTTAGTGGGATTTTCAATAGTTTACAAGATTATCTTGAACGGGTCTTAATTGATTATTCAATTGTGCCTCATTTACCGATTTTGCTTCTCTTTACATGGCACTCAAATAAGATGCTTCCGCTATTGTGAAAGTTCTGATTTCCTGCATCAACCAATTCAGACAAGTAAGATCACATCTTCCTTGTAGCTTTTGTCGTGTATGATTTATCATGAGAGGCAGTTGCTGAACATACTCGCCTGTCAAGAGATGCTTCATTAAACACACCAGCGATAACGAAAACACGACGCCATATGCATGCTCGAATGCAACAAAATTTGATGGTGAAAATCTTCAATATCCTCGTGGGTGTGGGAAGGTATGGGTGTAGCTAGGATTTTGAAAGAAAAGAAGACCCACAGCCTCAAAGACACCACCTACATACTCATGCCACATCCACAGCGACAACCACACACTCACACTCGCTCACATCTTAAGAAACTCTCTTTTATGATATTGAACAAGAATCACTAGGCATTGTCTTTCGTTAAATATCAGTGTTGTTTCATCAATAATTTCGCCATAGATTTCTAATCTATATCGTTTATTACAATAACATATCTCATTGTCTAAAATAAACTATCTATCGAGTCAAAAGATAAGTGTCAATGAATGTTACATAACTCTGATTGAATGACATTACTTAGGAGATAGTGACGGAGTCTTATTTAACTTTTCGAAGATTTTCCTGATTAAATGTCAATAAAAAATTATCTTTTCATTTGATCAAGAATATTTTGACATTTTTGAACTGTTAAATATCTATTTATAGAATAAGAATATTTTGAACATTTCGAAAATATGTCATCGACTTATTTCGTGTATCACTGATGCTCAAATAAAATATCTTAAACATGATTCTCATTTTTTTCCTTAGTTCTTGTTTGCATTACCCAGGTTGAGCAATATTTTTCTCTTTTCATTCGTATAACACTGTCTCAGATGTGTATTTTTGTCAAAAAGCTGATGAATAACTGATAAACGTCATTTTGGAGGCAAACAAAATTCGGTCGCACAACATGTTCTAAAAGAGTTCTATGTTAACCCTTCCATTCGAATATTTTCTAATATGAATTTAAACTACATGCAGAACTTTGAAACTTTTCTATTTCTAAAACCTCGAGCACGACACAAGGCATCTTACCCTTTCTAGTTATAGTTTACATCCATAGAAAAAAGTTGTGTTTGATCGATCTATAGAAAGCAGAGATCGATTTTTGATGTTGCATGAGATTTTTTCAATGAATGTTAACTAGAATTGCCGAGTATTCAATATGATTCAGTGTCCTGATGGACATCACTACGTGAATAAGTATTCAAGTTGTATCTTTTTTGAAGAAACAAGAATATTTTCAGTCCACCCATGTCTACGTAACTATAACAATCGTTTTCTTTTTCAGTTCGATATGTAAGTTTCTTTTTAGAGACCTCAGTATTTGTTTGATATTTTTATTTACTTTTCATCAACACTTTTTAGAAAATTAATTGCTGGTTTGCAAGCTTACTCTACTAAAAAATATTGCAATATTTTTTCCATGCGATGGTAAGTTCTAACAATTTGGGCAAGAGTTCGTTGGATCTAGAATTTCCAGATCCTAACTGTATGGTTAATACGCTTAACGAAATCTTTCTAATCTAACGTTGATAGTCACTTCGAAGATGCGAAATACATTTTTTTGGTTATTTATATTCATCGACTAGCACGCCCTACACATTTCTCAGGCGACTTTGACAGTGCTGTTATAAGAGTCAAGTTATAATCAACTCTTGCTTTATATGTTGTGTCATAATTTATTAGTTCTCATCAATCGATGTCAAAACACCTAACGTAGTTTGGTATATTTAAGGGTGCGGATGTGGGTGTCCGTGACTGAGAATGGCATGAGCACCCACACCGACACCATCTCGCTTAAGTGTAGGGTGGGTGTGGGATGCGGCTTAGAGGAACAGATTCATACTCATACTCACACTCACGCCCTTACCCACATTCACAACTACACCCTATACACCACCCACAGCTACGCCACACCCACACTCTCGTAATTTTTTGTTTCTCAAGCCAGAAATAACACGAGAGATGATAAAAATACGGTACCGTCTTTTTCGTGGATATTCTAATATGTTTGTAGTTGTGCGTAGAGAGAACCCGAAGTTCAGACGCACACTGCACTTACACCACACTCGCACATACAAAAAATCCTTTTGAGTAGGAATTTTTGTGATACTCTGTACATTTGTTTATTCATCGCTTACATGAAATGGTTGTTAATTGTTAACAGGCGTTTTCATGAAAACCATTCCAATCGTTAAAAATTTTTGATTAATCATCAAAAGCGTGTTAAAGTGGTGAAAGTTCAATAATTCTGAGCGTCCAAACACTGAAAACGTGTCGAAAAAGTTATTAATCTTAAACTGTTTTAACACATTTTTGGTGATTAATCAAACATTTTTCACAGTTTACATATTGAAATGTTTAAATGTCATTTTGGTCGTAAATGCATCTGCCTGGACAGACTATGTGTTGAACACTTCATCATTTTATTATAACAAGTATATTTTTTTCCAAAGATCACATTCGAAACAGTATCAAACATTGCAAAAGATGGCAGACAGCTTTAAGCTTCACAAAAGATTGACGATGTTTTTAGGCTCCATTGTTTGAAAAACCTGTAGTACTGGATGCTCTACTTTCTATCTTAGAAATAGACATATTACAATAACCGTTTTACTTTTCGCTAGTTTTAGTTATCAGAATGTGCTTCGTCTTCTGTTCTTTTCATTCATATAGATACAGTTCTTTTTAAGCAGCTGTGAAGAACAACAACTCAATCAAAAGACCGCCTGAAGAATTTTGTCTAGTTCTGTATATAAGTAAATCGTTTGTGCAATGTCAATATGGTCCTTTGATAACTACATACTTCATCAAACATGAAATTTTCAAAGTTTCTCACTGGCCGCAGAACGTTTATTTATCGATTACGGTTTTCTTGAGGTGTACATGGTACGCTCAATCTAGTAGCAAATATATTTAATTCAGATAAGTTTTTCACGTGTCAAACATCATATGATGTTTGAAACTTATCGTAAACAAAACAGAAATATTCACTTTTAAAAACTACATGTCGACTATGACGAGAAATGTGTGGGACCAAAATCAACAAATAAAACTTTATCAGGACCATAAAAACTCGACAGTGCATATATCTCTATGGTCAGACAACTTTATGGCATAGATATGTATGGCTGAGATTATTAGCATAAATGTAAAGATTAATAAATTCTTTGCTTTAATTAGTTCTTCGTATAAGATTTATTTCCATAAATCTAGGTTTCAGAAAAACAAATTGTTTCTGAAACCTGTATCGAAAATGATAATCATTCGAAGTCATTAATTACTTATATCAAATTTTTAGAATAATATCGGTTTAATTCAATCAAACAAATTGTTACAACGAGTAGATCATCTTTATTTCATATTTAGATATTCATATATTGCCGTTAGTATTACTACTGATAAATTGCAAAGCATGCTGAATGAAAACAAACTGAAGATAATGTAGATTTACTTATTCCGTTTTTGCATTTTCTATTCAAAATAAGTCGAGTAATATTCTCTTCTTTACGTCTCTGTCATCATTTCTTTGCCTTATATAATCATCATCGAGAAGTACTCTTCAATATATTTCATGAAAGTGTCATGCATATTACGCGTCATCATCGAGTGTTAAGAAAAGCAAATGATTGAAAAAAAACGACAAGTTATTCAGTCTTTTTTTTTTCTTTTTCTCTTCGTTATAACAAAACGACAATAAACAAGATTGGTAATAATGCATTTGATAAATCTTACTAATTCTTATTTCCACTTCATTGAAATTTTCCCGCGAGCTAAAAAAAATGTTCATATCTTCGTCTTTTCAATTTTCACTGAGTATTGATTAAGAAAAGCAAGAAAAAGAAGAAGAAATATAATAGAATCGACGAATCGTAGTTTAATACTAAATGACAAATGATGATCATTCTCGGAATTGGAAAAAGAAAAAAAAACAACGACAAATACTCGTTCTTTCTTAGTAACTAGAAAACAACAGAGAGATGACAAGAGAAAAAAAGAAGAAAGAAGTTTCTTAGTTGTTTTCAGATACGATACTATTGTTCGCTAACGAATAGAACAATATAAGATTCTTTTCAATCAAGAAAATTTTACATCAAATGTAATTATATGAGTGAAACTTTCGTACTATTATTATTATTTTTGTTCATGTTGAATATTTCTCATGTCGGTAAGTATCGATTTTCTTTTCTTCTGATTAGATATTTAATCCATTTAATATTAATAGAATGTACGACTGAGCAACATCTTATGAGAAAATTATTACAATATTATGAGCCAAGTGTAAGACCAGTGATTAATGCTCAAGCAATAGTAAATATATCATTTCGAATGGAACTTACTCAATTATTTGAACTTGTAAAATTTATTATGAATACTTTATTGTAAAAACTTTCTTTTCGTTTTGTATTTGATTTCTTAGGAAGAAAAAACTCAAGTATTAACAACGAATGTGCGCATTGAGCAAAAATGGAAAGATGAACATCTTGGTTGGAATCAATCAGAATATGATGGTATACGTGGTATACGTTTACCATCACATCGTATTTGGTTACCTGATAGTTATATCTATAATGCAGCATTTGATATTTCAAGTGATATACCGACACAAGGTGTTATCAATGGTATTATATAAGACTTATTTTAGATTACTTTTTTTTTCAATGTTTCACTTCTTAGGGCCTTATGTTATGGTTTATCATACAGGTGAAGTTGTATTTCCTGTATTAATGAAATTGCGTACAACGTGTAAAGTAAATATTCAATATTTTCCATTTGATCGACAAATATGTGGTCTAAAATTTGCATCATGGATATATGATATATCAACAATTAATTATGTACTTGTTCCAAATGTCAATGATCAACAACAATCAGAAAGTATACGAAATAGTGGTTGGGCTATACTTGACATTAAAGAAGGTCTTCTATGGCGGTAAATGTTTGAAAGTTTTTATTTAAAGTAGCATCTTGCAGGGATAAAACTTTCCGCAACCGGATCTGCACCGGCATTTTTTTTTGTGTACTCAAAGCGAACCGAACCGAACCTTGGATAGATGTACTTGGTACACCATCCAAGCTAACCGGCGTCCGACAGATACTTTCGCTGTCACACTACGATTTTCACACTTTTATTTTATATTCTTCCGTCGATATCAACGAAAAAAAGAGATCATCTCAAGTTTCACAAAAAAACAAGTGATTCAGGAATACACTTGGTGTCTTTCTGCTTCTAAAATCCGATCGATTTCATTATGCATATATTTGCTTGTTGCTGATGACACTAGGATAGAACGTAGTGTTGATACCAAAATGTCATAATTGGAGATATATACATGAGTAGTTTTTCCACCATGATAATATATGTTCACTTTTTTTATTATTTATTTTTCTCTCGATGTATTCAGTTACGTCATCATAGGGTTCCTCATCATTTGTAGATGAATTTTCATCAAAAATGAATTCGTTTAGTAAAAGAATATCGTTTTCCACTTATGTGATTTTCTCTAAGTTACAATAAATTGCTCAGGTTTTCAATTCTATGATTTTATATAAACTGACAGCTTGAAAAAATAAAAATATTTTGAAAGATCGAGATTTGAACTAGTTGCAAGACACTAATTTAGAGAAACACGAATGATTCATATATTAATTAGAATATTTGTTTTTTGGGTTGAATGAATATTAGAAAATATAGAATCTCAATCATTTAACTATTATTAATATAAAGAGGATGCGTCAGAAAAAATAAATCTCTTAGTGTTGTCTCAAAGTCTCTGTCAATTTTAATAGTCATGAACTAAGGTTCGTCTTAGAAGATAACGAAAAAAATGCCTAAATACTTCAAAGTATGATCTCAGACATAATCAAGTGTCTTTTATTCAATGGTACATGGGATCGAATACATCGACCTAAAATACTGACAGAGAATCTAGTGTTTTAACAACAGGTCTAAAATTGCAATATCGGATCTTTTTTACTTGATTCTAATCGAAAGTAAAAAGCATTTATTCGAAATCAAATAGATTTCTATAGCATGACTCACTGATATTTTGTCTAGAGCTACAACTAGTATTATTTGTAGGGAAGATGTCAGGCTAGTGAATCTGTTGCCGAATAGCCGCAAGGTAGGGATATTCTTCCTCAGCAGCTTTTAAATAAAAACAAATTTTACTTTGAAAAAAAGAATTTATGGCTGAGTTACATATATTTTTCAAGAATATGAAACACTGCGATGCAAAATACGTTTTTTTTTTGTAAAAACCTAAAAAAGTAAAATTTACTTCGTGCGAGATTTTTTTATAGCCTACAAACGGCTACTGTCACTTCTCCATATTTCAATGTGAGAACGGATTAACACAAGTACTTGAAAATTGGTAATGACACACATTTGCAGAGGATTCAATGCTGAGTCTTTTAAGACGAAACTTAGTCTGTAACTAGTAAAATTGATAGAGACATTGAAAACATATTGAGACGTTCATTTGTTCTGATACAAAAATCCAAAGAGAAAAGAAGTTTGATCCGATCGTTTTTTTCTTTCTATTTAGAAAAAGTATAACTTTTGATTCTTGTATAGTTTACATAGGATTTGATAGATATTAAATGACTTTATGTTTGAAATTTATTTTTATTTGAGAACAAAGAATAATAAAACATATGGAGAATTAGTTTATGGTGTTCATATTCGTCGTCGTCCATTGTATTATATATTCAATGTGATAATTCCATGTGCCATGCTTTCATGTTTGACTTGTATGTCTTTTTGGTGCGTAAAAAAATATTTGCTTTATTTTTTTAGTTCAATAGAATACTTAATTAAAATTATTTATAGGTTACCGACATCATCCGGTGAAAAAGTTACTCTTGGTTTAACTTGTTTTGTTGCATTTTCTGTTTTTATGCTAATGGTTGCTGAAAAAGTTCCAGCTACATCGGATACAGTACCTATCATAGGTAAATATCCATTTCATATTAAAATATAAACGTATTCAGTTTCTTTTTTTATTCTTAGGAATCTATTTAACAATTGTTATGAGTTTAACAGTAAGTTATGATATACAAATAGAAATATATTTATTTAAAAAAATTTCCCTAGTCAATATCTGTAATAATGGCCGTGATCGTCGCTAATCTATATCAACAAGCAGCAATGTGCACAAATCAAAAACATTGTCCACCACAATGGTTAATTAATTTTGCACTTACACATCTGTCATCAATTCTCCGTATGCATGACAAGATTAAAACAGTACTTGATCAGAAAGTAAGAGAGTGTATTTTGCCTATATAAGAGTTATAAGAAAGAATAAATAAATAAACAAATAGGTTTCGAATATTAGGTGTCGTTTTTTTATGTGTGAAAAAAAGAAAGGAAATAAAGAAAAAGAAACCAGTGGAGCGTTAATTCGAAATCAATTAAGGAACATTTTTCTATTTACGTTTGTCGTCGTTGGAGCGTCTGCTATTAAACAAAAAAAACAGTATATTGATTATATTAGAATGTATGCCAATGTAAGAATAACTCAAAATTCATCATGGGATAATTGGGGTTCGTATGGTCTTCTTTTCGGATTTTTCTTAGTAATTATTGGTATGTTCACACAATTTCTTGAATTCCCACGTGTCTATAATGGTGCAATAAGTGTAAATTTAAACGATTCTATAATATCTGGCCTCTATGACATAACAAATTATTATAATCATTGGTGGCCATGGACATATCCATCTAATCTATTTGGTCTTTTTACATTTTTAACTGGCATGGTCGGTATATTAGCTGGTTTCAGAGGAACTTATACATCAATTTTTGGATTTTTTACAATGAGTGTTGTATCAGCATTATTTGCTGTTTATTTAATTGTTTATTTTTCATTTATTGTTTCATTTTATCAAACAAATGGAATGGATAAACCAAGTAATCGTACAGCATTTGAATCAGTTTCATTTGGTCTTGCTGGTACACAATTAACAGTTGCATTAATAAATGTTATAACTAGTGTATTATCAGCTATTTTTGCTGGTCGAGCAATGGCACTTTGTGTAGATAAGAGTGTTTTGGAAGACGAAATAATAATACCTATTCGCCCACGGACACCAGTACTTCCTAGAGCTCGCTAAAAGTACATATAGACTTTATTCATTAGCATGTTTATATAGAAATTTCGTAGATTTTAAGAGCCGTTTGTTTTTCATGTATTGATAGCTAGAAAATCATTCAATTTATTAACACGAATTGACTTCGAATAAAAAAAACTAACAAAATGAAAAATTTTTGTTTATATTTCATGTTGAATAAAAGGTTCAAATATAAATGTTTTCATATTCGTAAATGATTAATTTATTATTTAATAAAACTGCTTTAGAGAACAAGTGATATATATATGACATGTGGTTTGTATTCAATCATAATATGATGAAAAAAAAAAGATACTTGCCATTTATTGTCAGATTTAATCATCAACACAACATGCATCGAATCAAATAAAGATGAGAAAGAAATGTTTTCTAATAAATACTTATCATCTTTGTGTAATAATTTATTAGAATTATAAAATATATTTTGTTTGTTTTTTTTTAGGAAAAATCATCAACATCCTATGGCCTTTCATGTGAACTAAATTCATTACCGTCATCAGCAAATCAAAATGAACTTCACACTAATTATGAAAATATTGTTGAAAATTTACTTTTACAACAAGTATTATTATATACACATGAACGATTAAATTCATCATATTATACTCGTTCACATTCAACAGTAACAACAAATAATTCTTTATGGATACGAAAACAACAACAAGACCAAAAATTCTCAAAACATCCTAATAATAAACATTCGGTGCTAATTTCATCAAAACATAAAAACAATCCAAAAAAACCAATATTATGTCTTATTGAATCGGATGAAAACAATTCAGGTAGTTTAATTGAAAATATTCTTTATTATCATAATCAACAAAAAGATCAATACAAAGCTTTCGATCAAAATATAATAGATTTACTTATTAAAAAAAATTGTGAACGAAATAATATTTCAACAAATACAAATAGTACATTTTATTTTCGTCTTCAATGGCTTGCTATTGGTCTTGTCATTGATCGTTTATTCTTTTATATTTATTTTATAGCAACACTTATATCTTATTTAGTTACACTATGGCTTATACCCTTTGCACATCCAAAATTAGCTATTGATATTCATTCTTTGTAGTTAGAAATTAAAGAATTATATAACTTCATAAAAAAAATTAAAAACATAAATATGATTTTTGTCCCATAGAAATCATGCATAAAAAGAATATTTTATATTCACGTGTTTCAATTTCAAAAACTATGCAGTTTAATAGATTAATCAATATATTTTCTGCCAGTTCAAAGCCAATAAATAAAAAGAAAACAATTAGTTGGCGAAGTTTTTGTGTTTTATTAAACGAATAAAGAACAAAATAATGAACCAATCATCTTTTCATCTCGAACAGAGGATTATTCATGCAACAATAAATGAAAAGATATTGCAAATTGCTTGATTAACACAACGCAAATAACAAACAAACAAGGAAAAGTCATCACCGGTAGTAGTCACCTTACTTCACATAAGCATAGAAAAGAAAAAAATTCATCAAAAAAAAACTAAACTTTTTTTAATAAACGTTGTGTTCGATTCACTCATTCTATGTTTTCATTCATTTCATTGAAAAACAACTAAATCGATCGAGAATAGCTTGCGTTATACTACCCGGTCGTCGTTGGTGAATTTCTATCAATTTTTCAATTTCTTTTTTCACCTCAAAAAGAATTAAAAAATATTTCTTTATTTCATAAATTAATATTTACTCGGATAGCAAGAATTTCTGCTGTTACATCAGGATCATATGGAATAGGTTCTCCAAGATAAGTACTAAACAAATAAATATTTATGCATATGTAAACTTCAATTAATATTTACATAATTTTAACTGGAAACATTCCATAAATTGGAACAATTGGTAATCGAGTTTTTTCATAAATATATCTTAAAAAACCTAATAAAAGATAATCGAAATATTTTATTATAATTATGAGAATAACTTACGACGACCAAATGTCAAAGTACGTACAGCTTCTCGACAATTTTTTGTAAACATTGGAATGATTGTCTGAAAAGAAAAAGAATTAATTATTTAAAATAATTGCCACAAAACAAAAACAGTTTTTATTTACAGCTTTAGATTCAATTGCAACTTTTGCAAAGCCTCGTCTTTCCTTCCATATTAAACGATAATTATGATCACTGAAAAGAGCTTCACGAACACCACCTCAAACAAAAAACAATATTCATGATAATTCTTTCGAATATTTTGAATTACCAGGTGAAATAGCAAGTACGTGACCTTCTTCAAGCATTGATTTGCATATTCCTGGTGTTGATGGTTGAATTCCTATTGCTTCAATAAGAGTACCAAGACCTTAAGGAAATTTTTTATTTTAAAATATATTTTACTAGATAAATAAATATCATACCAGGTATTCTAAATACAAATTTATCAGCAACAACATGTACACGTCGATTACGATAAAGCCAAGTTTTAGCAAATAAATAATAAAAATCAATTGGTAATGCTCCATGATAAAAAACGATAAGAACTGGCCCTTTTGTAGGAATGTGCTCTAATCCTTCGACTTCATAACCTATAAATTAAGACAAATATATATAAATTTAGCTCAACTAACTGATTTTTGATTGTGCTTTTTCAAGAAATAAAATATACTTCAATTAAAGAAGTAAAACTAATAGCTCTTGAAACAACACTACTTAATTATTTTGATACGAAAAAGCAAACTTGCTCTCAGCAAGTTTTATCAGAGCTGGAAGGCATATCTATAAAACATTTTTCAACTGATCTGTTCCAGTCGGATTGAAGTAGTAGCGTAACCAGGAGATCGTGAATGGTAAGGCAGTGTCCTACGGTCTTGGATATAATCCAAGTTAGCTCAACTTTGGTAACGTCACTAGAGTGGGTTAGAGTGAGTATTGCGGGTACACAACTTTTCGTGCTGATGTCAGATCTGAGTACGAGTGCGAAGATCCAACCCGTGGATTGCATTACTCTAATGCATGGCTAATACTTTAACAGAACGACCAGTCAAGTAGGTAGGTGATCAAGGATATAGCTATTAAACAACAGTATGGAAAACACATTTTCAAATTTTTTATGAATTATACTGTTAAAGATAAAGTTTATGTCACAGCAATTCATCAAAATGTTACGAGACGACAAAAACTATATTCATTGTCGAATAGAAAAAATGACAGCACACAAAAGTTCAACAATAAAGACAAGTTATAGACGATTATGAGAAATTTTTAAAGTAGCTACTACTTACTCAATAAGAGGAGTTTGCTAAACATTCGTATTTATACTCGTCTCTAATGTTTCTCGTCTTTGAATAGGTTGTTAGTTATTTTCTGAACGTTTCTGAATTATTTCTTCATAATGCTAAGACATATTTTTGCCGATTTTATTTTTCAGCATTGTAACCAATTGATATTGCCTGATAGTTGTAGAGCCTATCTTACCATGCCATATACTTCCTTGTAATTCCCATAAGATAGCCAATGAATTCAATGCACCATGCCAAAGATCATCTGAATATGCAGTATTTTAAGCAATTAGAAAGAAAACAAACATTATTTAATCATTCATCAATAGAAAACCTCACCTACTTTTAACCGATTCCAATGTTTATATATCAAACAAAATAATGATGAACCATATACAAATAAAAGTGTAGCTGCTGGTAAAATAAATAGTAATAATAATAAAAGACATAATGGTTTAAATAAAGTCCATAACCATGCCAAATAGATTAAATCAAACTTTGAACATTCAAGTAATGTTAAAAAAAAATTAAGTACTTGTTCAAATATCATAGCTAAAGTTTTTTGTTTCTAGTTTTCAAAATAAAAAGGAAATCAATATTTGATTGTTATTTTAAACTAACATTTGTCGATCAATGATCGAAAATGAAATAGATAAATTAAATAAATAAAAATCTAAAAATTTAAAATAAACTCATTAATTTTTATAAAACGAACAATAAATATACTCAGAAAAAAAGAAAAAGAAAACGAAATTTAATATTCATATAAAAGCTGTGGAACATATCCAATTCCAAAATGATATTCGATAGACACAGTTTTTACTATATCTAATATCCGTTATTTAATCTATGCATGATATTCGATTATATTGTTTGTCATACATATATAATACAACACAGAGTATTGAATTCTTTATAAAGTTTTAAACAGATAAGAAGTTCTTATATGAAAAAAAAGCTTCAGTAATCAATTTAAAGTTCCGTTTTATTAGATGAATAAATACTTTAAAAAGAAACTAATTTGTTTTCATGATATCAATATTAGATGATACATAAAAAATAAGACAGATGATCTTGATAAAACAAATTTCTATGATAATATTAACTCATTACTCATAGAAGCGGATATATAACTGAAGTCATTCTCATTATTCATTAACTGTTCGTATAGGTTGCACTAACATTTGAATTTCATTGTATCTTCATATGAAATAAACGTTATGCGTATGGTATATGTTCAACGAGTCGTGTTCAAGTATAATCCTAATGTACATATAAAATATTTTTCATAAAAATACAATTCTCTGTTTCTGCAATGACAGACACATTGATTCTTATGTATTCAATTTTATTTTAAGTGCGCAATTGAACAAAACAAGCGAATCAATAAACAAAAATGTAGTTCTTCAGCATGTCTTAAAATGAATTTTCATTTGAATTACAGTATCTTCTTGATTCATAGACTTCAAAAATGTTCGTGTAACATTAAATATCATTAATAGTTTATTATCAAACTGCATGATTTCAACACGAAATGCTCACATTCCTCGAAATCCAAATATTTAGGTATTATTATACATAAAAGAATTGGAATTAAAAAAACTAGAAAGCATAAATATATATTTTTATTAATAAATAAACATTTCACGCACCGGACAGAATGACCAGAAAAAAAAACAAACAATATAAATTTGGAAACATAATCACGAAGAAAGAAAACAAAAACAAACCACTAAAAACCAAATATCACAAATATGTGTCATTACTTTTTTTATTATTGAAAATAGTTTTTTTATTTGAATCATTATCCATTTGTTTCATTGTCTGCATTGCTGCATTTATACGAAAATGAAGACGAGACTCTAGTTGATAATCTTTATAATCATTTCTAATAAGATTAAAAAAAAAAACAACAACTTATGACCCATAAAAAAAAAACTTCTTACAGTGACTTTTGTAAATATTCATTCGCTTTTTGTTTTTGTTTTAAATCAAGATAGATCATTGCTTTTTCGAATACTGCATTCGGTGGTAATAGAGATTTTTCGTCAAATTGTTTTGACCTTAAAAACAAAAATAAAAGATTTTCAATTATTTGTTTTTCGTTATAAAACTAAGAAAAACTAACATAGTAATTATTTCATCAAAATCTTGATGAGCTTCATCATATCGATGAAGAAAATAAAGAAGCACACCACGAAGTAATAGGCCAGAACCATAACTATCAGCATAGAATTGATCATCTATTTGATAAAAAACAAGTAAATAAATTATTTTTTATAGAATATTAGTTAAATGAATTACTTTGATGATTAAGTTCAAGATCTTTTAATGCATTATTAACAATATTAAGAACTTCTTGTAATTTGTTATAATCATGAGCAAGTATATAAAAACCATTCATAAGATAAACTAATTCCTAGGGAAAAAAAGTTTATTAATTTGAAATTGAAAACATTGTTTTTTTCGGAAAATTTTTATGAAAAATTATTTAATAGTTAAAAGTAATTCTAGATGTCCTTATTTACCAATGCCGGTAAGAAAAGCCATTTTTGTACAAGAAAATGTTCACATTGTTTTATTGCATATTTTTCTAATGGAATTGATTTACCTGCCAGACGAATTTTTAATTCTGGTACACGTCTAATATGAATAATATTTACATTAAATTGAAATAAAAAAAAATGAAGTTTGTTGTTTTTTACTTATATAATTGAATTATCTCATCTGTTGCAAGAGCATTATTATCTTCAAATTGAAATGTTGCTAAAAGATAACAAGATGTTGCTTTACTCCAATTATTTTCTTTAAGAAGAATTTGAGCCATATTAGATGCTTCTTTCCATTGAAGTTGTAGTCTGTATAACATCAGAAAAACAAATACAATTAGATATATTGAATAAATTATAATAGAACTTACACATGACACCAAAGTATTTCCCAGTAGGCAATCTATAAAAATCGAAATCTATTATTCTAATTAAATTATTAAGGGAAAATCCGTACATGATGAAGATTTTTCCAATCACTTTGACAACGAATTGCATATTCATATGTTCGAATTGCCTTTAATAAAAAGAGACAATAAATTCATCTTCTTTAAAATTTATTTATTAATTCCATTACTTCATCAAGTCGACAATGAAGTGTTTGAAGTCTTGCTCGAAAAACAAGAAACATATAAGACTAAAAAGAAACACATTTTTAAATTGTTTTTCTAATTAATTTCTAACAAAAAAAATGCAAGAAAAAGCCCTAAAGATATAGCAGTATAGATTCCAATTCAAACAATTACTATCGATTACACCAAGACAACACTGTCATTAAACCTCTCGAGTTTCAGACTTGATTTGAGCTTTGTATACTTGCAATATGATCACACTTTATTGCTTGACAAATAAAAAAAACTGTGCTCGGCATCAATGATTTTCTCACAAAATATAATCAACAATACTCTTTTTCCTAAAAAAAAAATGATTGTAACTATTGAATATAGATATCAATTGATATCTGACATGGCTTTATTTTTTCTATTTCACTTTTTTTTTCTTACTAAAAAAATGTTCATCTTTCAATGATAAAGACATATACAACGAAATTGATCTACTAAAGTGTAAAAAATCAAAAGGTAATTTGAGTATAATTCAATAGAAAAAAGAATCATATACAAGATATAAAGGAGAAGAAAAGAAATACTAAGCAAAAGCATCAACAGGAGCCTAAGCAATAACCATTACTGGACTCCATCATCGAATGAATGAAAATAGTAATTCGATAGGACAACATTGCAAACGTAAAGAAGAAATCAGATATCGAAATTGAATGCTAGAGAAATCTAACTCTATTCTGACCTCTTTCCTTCTTCTATCATTCATCGTATTATTGCTTGACAGATAGACAAATAAGAAATTCTGTAATCAAACTGTTTTAAAATATGAAAACAAATACAGAAATTAAATCTGAACCTAACGAAATTCAGGTAAGAGACTTTTGTTTTTGAGTTCATTTTTATTCCTTGTTGTGTCTATAGAATTATTCTACGAAAAAAATTAATAAATTACTTGATCTTCATGATCATAATCAAATAAAAAAATTAAAAACTAACTCAACGAATGATTCTATGACAAATTTACTTGTTAATCAAGAACAAGAATGTAAATACTTTGATTTAGACAAAAAAATTGTTTTTTTATTGATTATTATGTAGCATCAATGTGTATTTGGTGTCATAAATTTGGTAGTATATCTTTTACATTACAGAATGATGATGGTGATTCGAAGAAATTGTGTAGTGAAGTTTGTTTTAATCAATATCGTCGTGCTTCATTTAAAAAAAATAAAGTTCGAATTTATTTTCTTTTATTCTATTTGATTAGAATTTAGTTTTTAGGATAAAAAATTATTAAAAATTCGTTCAACATTTAAAATCAAAGTAAACCGAAAAAAAAATTATGTTCTTATAAAGACGAACTAAGTTTTTTAGTCTACAAATCATGCAATATCACAGAAAATATCAAAACCGACAATAAGTGAAAATAAACGTAATCACCAACAAAAAATTTTCTCATCAAAAATAAAGAAAATAAATACGAATGAAGTATCTCGAAAGTTATCTCCTTTACCATCATTAAAACGTCATCAATCATCGTCTTCTTCACATGAAAAAACATCAATTAATATTCCCATAAATTTTACTTCTTCATCATCTCATTTTCCTCTATCAGCTCTCATAGATCGTAATCATTTCCAATATTCATTAGGTACTGTTCCTTCTATTCAACAACTATCTTCGTCATTACCTTTCAGAACATCATCCTCAACTCTATTTTCAATGCTAACAAAAGAATTATTACCAAATTATACATGTATTCTACCAAGTTTTATTCCATTGCCTATACCGATTCCACTTTGTTTTCCTGTTCATTTGCCATGTGGTAGATATTCAACTGATGTTATTAATCAAGAATGTCAAACTAAGATACGAAATAATATTGACTCGTTTCCAATTCATCAACAAGAAACAAGACGAATATCTATTTAAAACTTATTTTATCTATCGATAAATTAAATAAAAGCATTGAAGTGTCCAAACGTATTTGCATTATAACGCATTCCTTAGTTTTTCAATCTGTCTCTCTCTCTCTATATATAATTTCTACACATACCAAATGAAATATTTTTTTCTTGAAATAATTGATTGTATCGAGGAAATAAGACATCTCGACAAAAAAAAATTTGACTTACATTTGAATTTCTTTTTAAATAATGTTCAATTAACATATGTGATTTTTCAAGATCACCATCACTATTTCCTAAAAAGAAAAGTTTTCTGTTGTGGTAAAGAATAATTTTTCTTTTATTATTTTTCTTTTTGAAGTTACCAAATATATGTGCAGCAAATGTATGATAACCAAGAAGCAATAAAGCTGATAATGGTGCTCGTAAACCATTACTCATTGCACTTGTCTCAAGTTCTTTAAGGCCAAAGTCCTAAAAGAATTTCTTCTGTTCAAATCTTCACATATGTAACAATATCTTACTCTGTCCCCTGAAAAACCAGCAAATTCCAGACAACGTATTATTCGTTGTGGTAGATTAGCAATCATCTAAATATTAGTATTATAATAGAAATCTTATAAAACGAATTTGAATTTTGTTTTTTCAATACCAAATTAAATGCACCATTACCCATTCGAACTCCACTATCAAAATGTTCGTGTGATATCGTCGATGAAAATCTGGACGGATCATTATTTTTTGCTAATTTCCTAAAAAGTTGAAATTGCTTCGGAAATAATATTTATTGATCTAAAAACTTACGCAAATAGATCATGACATTCTTTAATTTTTAAGGCACCACTTATAAAACTAAATAATCCTTGATCTTGAATAAATGTTAATAATGCTCGAATAAGTAATGCTTCGGCATAAACTAATTTAGCATGTAATTCCTCTAAGTTATACAAAAAAAAAAAAATTAATGCGCGAATTTATTATTATTAAATTCAAAAAACAAAAAAGAAGTTCTAAAAAAATATCCTAATTATATTTCTTATCTTAAATTTGATAATCCTATTCTATTGATCAATGATGATCATATTCGATGAATCATTTTCCTATTGATTATTGCAATCGAAAAGTATTGATATGTATATCTTTTGGTACGATATTTGTTGCATGTTGTACAATAATTGTATTATTTGTTTATCATTATCAACGACGTTCAAGAATTTTTTTAATTTCGAAGGAAATAAAAAATTCCGCTCAAAATTTTAATGAAAATATGTCAAAAATTTCAAATCGAAATCGATTGAAGAAAAAATTTGATCAACAAATTGAAGAACTTTTTCGTTTAACACCAATTATTCCGTTAGAACAAATAAAATTAAATGAATTTAATCGAATAATAATTAAATCACCGATAAAAAAGCAATTAAATTCTTCATAACTCACCTTCAGTCATGACAGGTTTCGATGTTAGACTAAATGTTATCCATGGTCGATATGGTTCATATTTTTTCGCCATATTTGTTGTATGACGTAATGCTTGAATTGTTGCTTCAATATCATCCTAAATATTAATAAATGAATAATATCTATAAAAGATACTATTAATATTTTTTTTTTTACTTGATTAAATGTCATTCCAGCTTGCATAAAACTTATTGAACTATGCAATAAACTATGATATAAAGAACGATTTTCCCTATTGAAGAAAGAATATATATGCATATTGTAATAATTTAGATTGATGATATGTATATACATACTGTTCTTTAGTTTTTCTAAGTGCTTCATTAAGACGATTTTCAAATATAAGTTGAGTAATTTGTTGACATTCGAGTAATGATTGAGCTAGATCATTTGTGAATTCTTCATGTGTTTTTGGTAATGATGGTCTACTAAACATTTAGAAACACGAAAATAGAATAAATATTTTCGGAATCAACAAACTTATTTAGATATGGTTTTTCATGATTATCATCGTCATCATCAAAACTTTCTAATGCATCTTCGAATACCTAAAATAAATAGATAGAAAAATAAGATCTAATTTTTATCTAAAAGAACATGTTCATGGTATTCATTGAATTGGAAAATAGATCATTCTTAAACCCTAAGTAATCTTTTTCTATAGTTTCAAGGCCAACTATATTGACTGTCTTTCTTTTTGAAAATAATCTTTTTCTCTTAGTATTATATTACTTTAATTAGAATTTAATACGTGCTCAATATTTTATTTTATAAATAGAATATTTGTGACAGAGAAATTCACTTTTCTTTTTTCTACAAATGTTATTGCTTGATTATTAATTTATTCTTGCTTTTATTCATCAAATTAATATCGATCATTTTAATATGTACAGATGTCTCCTATTTTCTAACAGATGATAGACAGTTTCTGTATAATCAAAAAACAGAAGCCAAGTCAAGCCATTTTTTCTTGATATGATTATTATTTTTCTTTCTTTCTTTCTTTCTTTTCTGTGCCTCCTTCTATCATATTCTTCGTTAGAAAATAAAAATGNAATCATTTGACTTGAGAATGAGTAATAATTAGGATGCTTTAAAGGTCAGACTAGATCTTTACATTGATTTGAAACTGTATAGCTAAAATTAATGTACAAAATTGAAACTTTCAATCTTCTTTTATTTCTCCTTGTAGGAAATAACATGATAATACACGTGTTCAGTATTAAAAAGCTATTAAAATTTCGAAAAATAGCTCTAAAGATTGAATCTTATAATCTGACTAGAGCATGCAATAGAGCATCTTTAGGGGAAAAAAGAACGTTCTGTCATGTTTCTGAACAGAATTATATGTCAAACAAAAAATATTGCAATTTTTAACATATCCGATAATAGTTTTTATATATAAGTTTATCTTTGATAGTAAAAAAAACTCAATACATACTTATAAGATTTAATATCAGGTACAATTCGAGCAACAGCATAGATTGATTGATTATTTGTAACCGCTACATCAAATCCATTTAATAATGCTTCTAAACCAAAATATCGAATATTTTCTTTTGATAAAGAACTTTGTTTCTTCATTATTGAAATGTACAAACAAATTGTTTTAGATGTTTGTGCTAATGTCTTTTGTAAATTTAAATGGTATTCATAGAATGGTACTAACCATCTCCATAGTAAATGATATTCAACAATTTTTTTATCACTAATTTGATCAATAATGAAAAAAATAATTTCTATAAATAAAATATTTAATTTACATTATGATAGCAAATCTGATAAGAATGTCTATTTTTTTTTCTCAAAATCTTTCATTCATTAATAGTTTTGAAAACTGAATAAACAAATTTTATTTTACCCTCCGATTGAATTTTATCTTCTGATATATCTGCATAAATCATTTCATTCCATTGAGGTGAACCACCCTCAATATAATTTGTTGCATTTATTAGTTCTGCATCTTCATGTCCCGCCATAGTTGTTAGAGTTTGTCTGTACATATAAATAAACAGATACAAAAATAATCAAGATTCATATGATTACGCTGTAACATAGTATTGAGAGTTACGACCACCTATTTTATTAGGTAAATTAGTTGCACCATGCACGAATATATGAAGAAGTTCTCTACAGCGTGGTGCGACATGTGGAAACAATGCACTATATTGTGCTGTTGTCATTGTTAGTGAATAGTTTGTTATGAAACAAGAGAGAAATGTATTGATTTGATTTTGAAAATGTGTCGACACTTCACATAACTGATTGATAGTCACGAACAATCAACAATGTAAATATAATTATTACCTTTTTGTTTTCTCTTTTATTCTCCGTCATGTCATTTTTTTGTCTTGTTTAGTAATGCTTGAATTTCAATGGAGAAAAATTTCAACAATCTATTCTCTGATGGTTTAATAACTAATTTTGAAGTCTTGATAATTTCTATCATGTAACTCGCAATGACTTACCTGATATAAGATATATCTCTATTCATTAAAATTAATCTTGTTAATGCTGATTTATTGAGTGTTTTATTTCATATATTTGTTTTTTAATCATTCTCAAAAATCAAGAAATATTTATTTATCAGGATCAGCTCAATTATCTAATTCATCGATAGAGTATTTCTATTGCATCATTTGAAATTAATATAGAATTCATATCTTTATTCAACTATGAACTTGCATTCAATAATTATCTTATAGCAAAAGAGTTTTAAATATTTATATCAAATCATAAACGAGTGTATGTATGAAAATAGTATTGACTTCTTGATTCATTATCATTGATAAACCATAGATATAACATTCCAATATAGAGATTATCTAGTCATATTGTTATACAAGCTCACTGATTTCTGAAATATCTTGAAGAATGTTACAAGTTTTGCGAATATCGATACATCAATTCTTTCTTTTTGTATATTATATTGCGCATAAATATTTTTTATTCAAGAAAAAAAAGCGAACAAAAATTATTTTTAGTATCTCTGCTATAGGCCAAAAATCGTTTATTTGTATTTATTTCAATTCATTCAAAAAACAGAGAATAATAAAATAATAATAAATAGAAATAATTATAACTCACGTTATATCTCCTTCATCCATTCTTCTTCTTTAAAATTTCATCTTCCTTTTTGAACATATTTTTCTTCATTTACTTCTCTGTATTCATCATACCGTTTTTCCGTAAATTTTCTTTAGAAATATAAAACATTTTTCTTTTTTTTTTCTTCTCAGGAACAATCTTCAAACAAATCTTCCTTTCTTCATAATACAACTCTTCTTTCTTGTTTATGCATGTTTACATAATTTTCTTTTTTCTTGATACACATAGAATGAAGAAAAAAAACAAAACAATCAATTTGAGAACCTTATCGTGCAAGAACAAAAAAGGAAAACATAATGAAATAGACAAGAGAAAAAAAATGAAGTGTAGCGCAGAATACACATACACAAAGAAAAAAAAAAGACAAAGAAATCATGTTGGATGAGTATAGAGTTAGTTTAAACATTTTTTTTTCTACTTTCATAGCAAAAAACAATGTTGACTAGACACTCACCCCGATGAGATTCGTCAGCAGGGAATGAATGCCATTTATATATTTTCCTATTTAATCATATCCATAGCCTGGACTTCGACGTCGACGATCACCACCTAAATAAAATAAATTTATAAAAACAGACAAAAATTCATTTATTTTTCAATTCTTACCACGTCGAGATCGTGATCGACTTCGACTACGAGAACGTGATCTAAATGATTTAAGATTAATACATTTATTAGTAATCTGTACTCAATTTTAGATTAACAAACCGAGATCGATTATTATGATGACGATGTCGTCGATTTGATCTTCGATCGGGTGATGGTGAACGACGATAACTATGTCCATTTGATCGATGATATGATGTTGTACGAACACCCATATAAATACCAGGTGCTTTAATATTAATAACAAAAAGAAATTTTAAATCTCAAAAAAAGTCTATAAATTAACTTACTTGGTGTATGAGCACGTTTTGTCACCGAATAATCAATACGTAAACGATGATGATCAAGTTCAACAGAATTAAGAGCTTCTTTAGCCTAGAAAGAAAACCATCATAAAATTTTAATAAAAAACAATTCTTTTTTTGTTTTTACTCGTGTTGCACTTTCAGTTTCCTCAAAATAAACAAAACCAAATCCACGAGATTTATTTGTTTTTTTATCAATTACAACTTGTACATCTTTTATTCGACCAAATTTATGAAATAGTTCTAAATCAAAATAAAACATATAAAAAACCAGTTGTAAATAATTTGTAAAATACCTTTTAAATCACGTTCCGTTGTATATTGTGATAAACCAAAAACTCCAAGTACTGCACTTGGTATTGGATTTTCACGATGAACTTCATTTGGTTGACGACGACCACCTTTTGGACTTGTTGGACTACGTCTTGATCGTTGACGTGATGGTGAGCGAGAACTATTCAATAAAAAAAGATTCATAGATTTTTACAACAAATATTTCTGCTGTAATTTAACTGAATTTATGAATAAGAAATATAAGTTTTTCTCGAGAACATAAACCATAAATTTCTATTATCCTCCATAAAAATGATTCACGTTCGTAATTTGTGGATCTTACAAGATAAACACTCAATGCAATCTTTTCTGTTTTCACCTCACGCTAAATTTATTTTACAAAAACAAATCTTATGACTCATTGTACAAACAGGGAGCCATAGTTTTTGTGGAGCTGCAGGCTCGGGCTCACAAAAATGTGAACCCGTATCTCGCTACTTGCTTGATCTCATTTACATATGTGAAACTGAAACTATTTCACCCAGTTGAAGATTTTTTTGCTTATCAATTAACTGCTCAATTTCTTTTTCTTTGTTAACATAAGGCTCTTTTCAACTAAGTGAAAACTGTTAATTTATGAAGCATCGCGTGACTGAAAAATGAACAGTAAAAATTAACTTTACGTGGGCTTTCTTTGAAGAGTACTGAATACATAGCTAAAATCTTTATACTTCACTTTTTCATGTATACACAAGGTGCCAAATATTGATGCAAAGAAACCGGGTCTATAAAAACGTGGATCCGCAGCTTAGTATATGATTTCAATAATTAAAATATTGTCTTTTTTATTTAAACATCATCAAAGATTAGAGTATTCTATAAATCTACACTTCAACTCAGACTATTGCGAAAACATTTAATTAAATTGTTTTTTGATAAATTAATTTTTTTGTTATTTTATACATTCTTCAACTTTCTCAAGTCCAAACTGTATATTAGTGGCCCCATATGAAAGTCGAGCCCTTCCAGATAATTTAAAAATTCGTTGCTAACGATAGTCTCAGGGTATGTCTGAAGTGGGTGTGGGGGCACTGTTATTGCACTTTTATTTTAATTTTTAATAAAGTACATAATAGAAATGATATAGTTTAGCCTAAGTAGGTTATGAATTAAAAGAATAACATACTATCGTCTTGGTGATGGAGATCGACTTGCTCGCGGTGAAACAGGCGATCGTCGACGTGATCGTCCATTATCTCGTTCTCTTGAATACTAAATATTAAAACAAAGAATATGTTTCTTTTTCCTTTATTAAAAAACTTTTCAGTACTTACACCACGATCACTCATATTGTTGTATTAAATAATGATTAACTTCTGAATGAAAGAAAACGATAAAAAAGTAAACAAATAAACAAACAAATAAGTAACAAAGAATTGTCATATATATACACAGCGACATATTATTTGATTGGTAGATTTTATATGACGATCATGTGAATTCATTCCCCTGACTTGTTTCAATAGGGAAGAATAAAGAGAGCGCTGTCTGCTGTCTGAAAACGATAAGTTCATTTAGTTTTTTTTCTTTATTCTATTCGAATAATGAAATTTCGTGTTAAATTTCATAATCAAACATCTTCAATAACATTCGATGATATTAATGAAAATTCATCTATAAATGATTTAAAAAATACAATAAACAAAAAATTTCCATTATTAAGAAAGTCAAACTTTCATTTATCACTTAATGGTAAAGATTTCTTAGTTGAAAATCAAACAATGTCTCAATCTGGTCTTGTTAATGGTGATACAATATATATATTAAATGAAATAAATAATAATAATTTATCATCATTATCAATATCATCTATTGATCAACCATTAACACTTGATGAAGTACGAGATTTACAAACATATCCAAAATTAATACATCGTCTTGTGGAATGTTCTCAACCAGAAAGTGATTTTGATTATATGATTATAGTAATACATGCTTTAATGCTTGAAAGTGGCTTTCAAATGGTAAAAAAAAAAACTGAAATAACTAGAAAACAATTTTTAAATGAAAAAAAAACTTTAATTTAGGATGCAGAAAATAATTATGACATAAGAATTGCACGAAAATCATCAACATTTTATGTTATTCGTTATCGACATAAATTATGTGAAAAAGAATGTATTAGATGTTCATTAGCAATTATGAAAACAGATTCATTAGTAACAATTGATGGTAGAATTTTTTTAATTTATTTGATTAGTTTATTTTTTTGTTTTGTTCGATTTAGGTGTTGTTAATTCAATTTCACAAGCTTGTGGAAAATTATCATTTAATATTGGAAATTATTTACATACACAAAAAGAAGGTATGAAAAAGAAACACAGAATAATCATGTAAAAACAATTTATTACATAGACATGCATAAAAAACGACTTCATCTTGATTAGAAATTAAATAAAAAGAAGTTTTAGAATTTTGTTTCAAAATTTAAACAGTTAACAGAACATTTTTGTTCAATGAACAGTGCCAAATACTTTAGAGTAAAGAGGTTAAAGATAGATTTCAAAATAAGAAAATCTCACTGTAATCCTTATTATTGATTATTTATTCGTCTATATTCGAAAATAAATAATATATAATTTTCTTTTAGCAGCAGCTTTAAATGCAGTCTTTCCTTATCATCATCTGCGTGATTTATCACGATTATTCAA